AACTTGCCCAGAACTATTCTTTGTTACATGGGTGGAGATAGGGGAAGAAAGATGCTTTACCTCTCAGTTTCTGTCATAATTTTGAAGATATAACTTTGTTGGCTTTTCACCTCAGTTTTATATTCTTTGATTTCTGTTATTTTATTTTGATCTTTCAAATATAACTTTCAGCATTTAATGTAGAACAGAGTTGAAAATTGCTTCACATTTTTAGAAACTTTAAATGAAGCCTTTGAAAAGAATGTATATTCTCAAACCAGAATAATTTTAAGTCATAACATTTAATAATTACATAGGATTACGTGTAAATAATTTGAGTATGTGATAGAAGTAATCTTACCAGTTTTGGTGCACTAAGACAAGACCTTCTTTAGACCCAATTTATCTTCATGAATTCTTCAGGCATTTTATTTGTTTGAAAGACTAAAAGTAATGTAAAACAGCGTTAATTTAGCAAGTGCCATTTGGGTATAGTGTCTATTATTTGAAGTCACAGAAAGTTTAGTTCCAGAGTACATAGAGACTTTATGAAGACCTTGTATTTAAAACAATAGTTTTACATGTAAAAATAATCCTGGTTGGAGTTTGAAGGTTATAAATATATTTTATTTGGTTAGACTTTGAGAGGCTTTGATTTGATTTTTAGGGCATGAGACTTTAATTGAGAGAGAAATGTAGATGCCACTTCCTTTAGAGAGTAGAATATTTACATATTTTGTGTGTTTGAACGAGTGTAATAAAAATTCTATGTGACAAGAAATTTTATTTTTCAATTTTATTATTCTGCCCAGTATTATTCTCCCAGGAACGTTGTTTGCTTGGTGTTGTTTTTGCTGGGGAGGGGCGTTTTGAGAGTTTTTTTTTTTTTTTTTTTTTTTTTGCAAGAGTCTTGCTCTGTCCCCCAGGCTGGAATACAGTGGTGCCATATTGGCTCACTACAACCTCTGCCTCCCAGGTTCAAACGATTCTCATGCCTTAGCATCCCAGTTAGCCAGGACTACAGGCGAGCACCGCCACACCTGGCTAATTTTTGTATTTTTAGTAGAGACAGGTTTTCCTCAGGTTGACCAGGTCATTCTCAAACTCCTGGCCTCAAGTGATCTGCCCGCCTCAACCTCCCAGAATGCTGGGGGATTACAAGTGTGAGCCACCATGCCCAGCCCCCAGGGAAGTTTTTTATAAGCTTTCTTTTTAGAACAAAGAAAACCTTATCTGTCTTTAGTGGTATCTGGGCCTCATTTTGCTGGTTAAGCTGCTACTTATATGTAAGTCTGATATTTTATGAAATGTTTTTTGATGTCACTATAGTTAATTTGTTTATTCGGAACATTTACATCTGCTATTCATATTATTTCCTCACGACGCTAATGTCAGTAGTAAAATCATTAGTAAATATAATTTATGTTTAAAATGTTGCTGTTTCTCACCTTTTTAAATATTTTTTAGATGAAAATTCTTATTCTAGCCAGAGCACTTTACAAACTTTATTTTATTCAGTTTTAACTAAATACTACATTCATACTTAAAGGATAATAAGACTGCCAAGATTCCATAAATTTCTTATGGGAGAAAACATACCTGCTTGTTATGCTTGTCATAACATGTCCAATAAGTACACATAAACTTTTGTTTTTTAAAGATTAATGTTCATAACATCTAGTTTTTCTGTTAACAGTTGTCATTATGTAATTTTCTTTTTGTTTTCTAAAAGCAGTAGCTTTCATTATGGAATTAATGTGATAATTCATAAAAGATTTACCTAATTTTTAAGCGGAAAAACATACTGTATCACAGCTTAGATATTTGAATCATACAGCACTATAGTCTGATCCCATATTGACAATTAGAACTAGCAGCATAAAGGAGAAGAAATAATGTAGCATGTACCTATTTATATGCCTTAAGCTTTTTGGTGAGGCAGTAAGGGCCACATGTGGATTAGAGACAGAGTGTTATTAAGAAGCTTACAAAAATTGATGGTTTGACTTTTCAAAAATCATAGTTGTTGATAAAACAACCTTATCAAGAAACACAAACATGATGTAGGCCCAAGAATTTTTCTTAAAGGAGATTTAAGAGAATTGTGAGAATTATTTCCTAGGAGTGCCTTGCTGTCTGTTTTTTGAAGTGTGAATTACACAAGTATTTCTGAAATTAGTATGAAGATTTTAAATGAAAATCTGAGAATCTAATGGCAATAACATCAGTTTGATTAAAAAAAATTTTTTTTTATGTATCAATGAAAGCCAATGTGGAGTAACTCTGAAGTACGCAGCGCTTCTTTATTGTCTATATAACTATTATGAAAAGAGTCCTTATTGTTAATTTGTAGGAACACAAATTTTCTTTAAATCTAAAAAAATATATTTCAAAAGAAATTACCATGACTGTCTGTCATTTACGGTAAGACAATTTGTAGTTAACAAGATATATTAAGATGTAGTTTTACTGTTTTTCTAAGCCTACCTATTATTAAATAATTCATTGAAAGAATTTATTGCATTATATTGAATGTATTTTTTTTTAAAAGCTTTAGGATCCTTTTCCACTGTATTTGGAGAAGAATGGAAAGAGAAGACTGATAGAGACTTTGTTAAGGTAAATCATTTTAATTAAAATGTTGAATCATTGAGTTACATGTAGCTAAGCCAACAATAGATTAGTGGTTGTTTATCTTATATACATAAAATATACTTTTATCTTTACCTAATACAGATGCAACAGTTTTTACACAATACAATACAGTTTTTAAAGTTGTGATTGAGTTGAGTAAAAAATCTTTTGGAATACCCACGAACAGACATAAAATTCTCATTGATATCTGTGAGCAGTAGCTTATAACAATAGCAGTAAACAATTGAATGACCCTCTTCTCAACTGGGATTCTGAGAATGGGTTTCAGGAACTTTTTGTTTTTATGTGTGTTCTGAAACTCAGCAATTCAGAAAGGAATGAAGGGCCAGACCTGCCATCAAATTCTCAAAAAGAATAGGTCTAAAAGATTAGTAAGTGTCCACCTAGAAGCAAATTTCTGGGAATATGTTTCTGAAACAAATGTAGTTGTGAATTTCAAGTGAGAAACTAGAAAAAGACTTGAACAAATTGTTTTCTCACTTACATTTGTCTAACCCTACTGTCTTTCAAGGAAATATAGGATGCTGCTTTTATTTACTAAGGGTACATTTTATAGTGTTACTACTAATAGAGCATGCACATTAAACATTGTTTAAATACCTTTTCTTTAAAACTCATACGTAAGATTTAAATATGATTACTCTTCATTTTTGCTGCTACTTCCACTAAAATATGTAAATCTATCCACTTTGTTTATTAAAAGTAGCTCTCTCGGGCTGGGTGTGGTAGCTCACACCTGTAATCTCAGCACTTTAGGAGGCTGAGATGGGGAAATCGCTTGAAGCCAGGAGTTGAAGACAAGCCTGAGCAACAAAGCTAGACCCCATTCCTGCAAAATATATATATATATATATTTTACTTCATTATACAAAATATTAAATAATTAGCTGGGTGTGGTTGTATGTGCCTGTAGTCCCAGCTACTAGGGAGACTGAGGTGGGAGGATTGCTCGAGCCTGGGAATTTGAGGCTGCAGTGAGCTATAATTGTGCCACTGCACTCTAGTCTGGGTGACAGAGCAAGATCCTATCTCTAAAATCGATAGATAAATCAATAAAAATAAATTAAGAAATAAAATGATACCATGGTGTTTTAGAGAGCTACTTAATTTTTTGTTTTCATTTATTTACTGGTGTTTGGTGAATCACTTAAATGTTAAAAATTAGTTGTCAAAATTTTGATATTGTTCAGACAAAATAGACTGAGTGACAAAATGAAAAGACAAAAAAGGTAATTACATGATGAAGAAGATCAATGCAGCAAGAGAATGGGTGTAACATCATATATACACTCAACACTAGAGCCCCCAGATATATAAAGCAAATATTAATAGAGCTAAAAAGAGATATACCCCAATACAATTATAGTTGGAGACTTACCCACTTTCAGCATTGGACAGATCATCGAGATAGAAAATCAGTAAAAAAAAACAAAAAAAATCAGACTTAATCTGCACTATGGACCAACTTAACCTGAGATATTTATAGACTATTTTATCCAACAACTGCAGAATATACATTCTTCTCATCAGCACATGAGACATTCTCTGGGATAGACCATATAGTAGTCCACAACATAATCTCAACAAATGTTTAAAAATTAAAATCATATCAAGTGTCTTCTTCTATCACAATGGAATAAAAGTAGAAATAAGAGGAACTATGGAAATTGGAAATATTAATACAAGAAAATTAACGTGCTCCTGAACGACCATTGGGGGGTCAATGAAGAAGTTAAGAAGGAAATTAAAAAGTTTCATTAAACAGATGAAAATGGAAACATAACATCCCAAAACCTATTGGATACAACAAAAACAGTCCTAAAAAGGAAGCTTATAGCAATAAATGGCTACCTCAAAAAAATAGAAAGATTTCAAATAAACAACATAATGATGTACCTTAAGGAACTAGAAAAGCAAACCAAACCCAAAATTAACAGAAGAAAGAAATTGTAAATATCAGAGCAGAACTAATTGGAATGGAGACTAAAAAGACAAAGGATCAACAAAACAAAAAGTTGTTTTTTGATAACGTAAACAAAATTGATAAACCACTAGCTAGAATAGCCCAGAAAAAAAGAGAAGACTCAAAGTCAGAAACATTAAAGGAGACATTACAGCTGATAACCACCGAAATAAATATAAAGGATCATTAGAGACTATGATGAACTATTATGCTAATGAATTGGAAAACCTAGAAAAAAACGGATAAATACTTGGACACATACAGCCTATCAAGATTGAACCAGGAAGAAATAGAAAGCCTCAACTCAAATAAAGAGTAACAAGATTGAATCAGTAATAAAAAGTCTCTCAACAAAGAAACTTCCATGATCGAATGACTTATGGCAGAATTCTTCCAAACTTACAAAAAAGAACTAATGCCAGTTCTTCCCAAATTATCACAAAATACTGAAGAGGAAAGAACTCTTCTTAACTCATTATTTGAGGCCAACACTACTCTGATACCAAAACCAGGCAAGGACACAACAGAAAAAGAAAACTACTCTAATGAACATAGATGCAGAAATTCTCAACAAAATGCTAGCAAACCAAATCCAACAACATACCAAAAAGACAGTACATCATCATTAAGCTGGATTTATCCCAGGGATGTAAGGATGATTCAACATAGGCAAACCAATAAATGTGAAACATTGAGAATGAAAGACAAAAATCAGTTGTAGATTTGTCATATATGGCTTTTATTGTTTTGAGGTTTGTTTCTTCTGTGCCTAATTTCTTGAGAGTTTTTATGAAGAAGAAGTGCTAAATTTTATCAAATGCTTTTTTTTGCATCTTTTGAGATAATCATCATACCAAATGGGGGAAAAGCTGAAAGCCTTTCCTTGATAAATTGAACTAAGACGAGGACACTCACTTTCACCACTCTTGTTCAACATTGTACTGGAAGTCCTAGTCAGAGCAATCAAGCAAGAGAAAAGAATAAAACTTGAGTAAAGTTGCAGGATACACTTCATAAAAGAAGACATACAAATGGCCAAAATTTATATGAAAAATTGTTCACTGTCACTAATCATCAGGAAAACATAAACGAGAACCCTAGGCCAAAATTTATATGAAAAATTGTTCACTGTCACTAATCATCAGGAAAACATAAATGAGAACCCCAATGAGATATCATTATCATCTCTCCCCAATTAGAATGGCTGTTGTCCAAAAGGCAAAAAAATAACAAATGCTGGTAATAATGTGGTTAAAAGAGAACTCATAAGAGAGATCCAAGATGGCCAACTAGCAGCAGCTCAGGGTTGCAACTCCCAGTGAAGGCGCAGGGAGTGAGTGGACGCCAGACTTCCAAACGAATTTTTGTTGCCTACGGACCAGGAGATTCCCAGCGGAGGAGCCCCATGGGTCACCAGCGCGACTCTTTTGGCCGGCCCGGCTGTTTTGCCAGCGTCCTGGCACGGCGGTTCTCAGTATGGAGTATGCGGGACTGGGTGCCCTTTTAGTTGGCGTTTGGAGCTCCAGGAACGCAGAGTCGCCCATTCAGCTGATTGAGAAGGGGACTGAAGCCAGAAGCCAGACTGGGAGATTCCCAGGCAGAAAAGTGCCACGAATCTAGTGGCCGGTGCGGTCGCCGCACGGGAAATTGCATAGATCCTGGACGTCTTTTCAGCAGGTGACTGGGGCACTTGGGAGAGAATCGACCGTTCAATTAGGAAAAGAAAAAAAGGGGGCTCTGAGGCAGGGAGCCAGGTGATTGGGCTCGGCTGGTCCCACCCCCACAGAAAAACAGCAATTGGAAACGCTGATGGTTGAGAGTTTCACAGCAAACACAGCTGAACCCGGGAAGGTCCAGCTCTGTGGGGGAGGGGCATCTGCCGAAGGAAAACAAAGAAACACAAAATAACATCACTGCCAACAAGCTGACGTCCACTCGGAGACCCAATCTGAAAGTCAGCAATTACAAAGACGACAGGTGGATAAATCCAGAAAGATAGGAAGAAACCAGTGCAAAAAGGCTGAAAACATTGGAAATCAGAATGCGTGTCCTCCTTCAGGGGATCACAGCTCCTCCTCAGCAAGGGAACAAGGCCTGATGGAGAATGAGTGTGATGAATTGTCAGAATCAGGCTTCAGAAGGTGGATAATAAGAAACTTCTGTGAGCTAAAAGAACATGTTCTAACCCAATGCAAAGAAACTAAGAACCTTGAAAAAAGGTTTGATGAAATGCTAACGAGAACAGACAATTTAGAGAGGAATATAAGTGAATTAATGGAGCTGAAAAACACAATACGAGAACTTCGCGAAGTATGCACAAGTTTTAACAGTCGAATTGATCAAGCAAAAGAAAGGATATCAGAGGTCAAAGACCAACTCAATGAAATAAAACAAGAAGACAAGATAGAGAAAAAAGGGTAAATAGGAAGGAACAAAGTCTCCAAGAAATATGGGACTATGGGAAAAGACCTAATCTACGTTTGATAGGTGTATCTGAATGTGACGAAGAGAATGAATCCAAGCTGGAAAATATTCTTCAGGATATTATTCAGGAAAACTTTCCCAACCTAGGAAGGCAGGACAATATTCAACTCCAGGTAATACAGAGAACACCACAAAGATATTCGTCAAGAAGAGCAACCCCAAGGCACATAATTGTCAGATTCACCAGGGTTGAAGTGAAGGAAAAAATGCTAAGGGCAGCTAGAGAGAAAGGTCAGGTTACCCACAAAGGGAAGCCTATCAGACTCACAGCAGATCTCTCCACAGAAACCCTAGAAGCCAGAAGAGAGTGGGGGCCAATATTCAACATCCTTAAAGAAAAGAACTTTCAACCCAGAATTTCATATCCAGCCAAACTAAGCTTCATAAGTGAAGGAAAAATAAAATCTTTTGTGAACAAGCAAGTACTCAGAGATTTCATCACCACTAGGCCTGCTTTACAAGAGCTTCTGAAAGAAGCACTACACATAGAAAGGAACAACCAGTATCAGCCATTCCAAAAATATACCAAAAGGTAAAGAGCATCAACATAATGAAGAATCTACATCAATTAATGGGCAAAACAACCAGCTAGCACCAAATGGCAGTATTAAACTCACATATATTATTATTAATCCTAAATGTAAATGGACTAAATGCCCCAATCAAAAGACACAGACTGGCAAGTTGGATAAAAAGCCAAAACCTATCAGTTTGCTGTATCCAGACCCATCTCACGTGCAAGGATACACAAGGACTCAAAACAAAGCGATGGAAGAAGATTTACCAACCAAATGGAGACCGAAAAGAAAAAATAAATAAAAAGCAGGAGTTGCAATTCTCGCCTCTGATAAAATAGACTTTAAAGCAACAAAGATCAAAAGAGGCAAAAAGGACATTACATAATGATAAAAGGATCAATGCAACAAGAAGAGCTAAAGATCCTGAATATATACACACCCAATACAGGAGCACCCAGATACATAAGGCAAGTTCTTAATGACTTATAAAGAGACTTAGACTCCCACACAATAATAGTGGAAGACTTTAATATCACATTGTCAATATTAGACAGATCAATGAGACAGAAAATTAACAAGGATATCTAGGACTTGAACTCAGACCCGGAACAAGTAAACTTAATAAACATTCGTAGAACTCTCCACCCCAAATCCACAAAACATACATTCTTCTCAGTACCACATCACACCTACTCTAAAAGTGACTACATAATTGGAAGTAAATCACTCCTCAGTAATTGCATAGCATTAAATAAAATATTCGTTGGCTGCTTGTTTGTTAATTTTCTTCCCGTATTCCTTCCTGTCTCCATTGTTAAGCACAATTATTGGAATAAAAGAGGTTTTTAATACCCATTTTTAGACTACATTCTAGCCTGGACAATAAAGCAAGACTCCCATTCTCTCTCCCTCTTTCTCTTCCTTTCTTTCTTTTTCATTCTTTTTTTTTTCTTTCTCTCTTTCTTTTTTCTTTTTTTCTTTCTTTTTTCCCAAGAAAAGAGAGAAAAAAAAAAAAAAAAGAACTCACACACTGTTGGTGGAAATGTAATTAGTACAGCCATTATGGAAAACAGTATCCCACTACTTGATATTTATCCAAAGGAGAAGAAATAGTATAGCAAAGGGATACCTGTGTCCCCAATGGATTGCAACATTATTCACAATACCCAAGATAAGAAATTGATTGAAGTATCCAGTAGCAGATGAATGAATAAAGTTGTATACAATGAAATACTATTCGGCCCTAAAACGAAATTGTGCTATTTGTAGCAACATGGATGGAACTGGAGGTCATTATGTTAAATGAAATAACCCAGGCACAGAATGATAAATATTTCATGTTCTCACTCATATGTGGGAGCTGAACTTGTTGATACTGTGGAGGTGGAGTAGAGTGGTGGTTGCTAGAGGCTAGGGAGGGTGAGAAGGTGATATACAAAGAGAAATTGGCTAATGGGTTCATATACCTAGTTAGAAAGAATAAATAATAAATTATAGTGTTTTATAGGACAGTAGCATGACTATAGTTATCAATAGTTTATATTTCAAAATAGAAGATTTGAAATGTTCCAGCACAAAGAAATGATAAGTATATGAGGTGATGGATATTTCAAATACCATTATTTGATTATTACACATTGTATGCATGTATTAAAATATCATATGTACCCCATAAGTACATACAGTTGTTATGTGTTTATAAAATTTGTTATTTAGCTGTCTTGCAGATAAAAGACAGTCATTTTAGGAAATAGTAACTGTTAGGTAGTATTAAGATTTTTCTAGTAGCATTTTACCTTTTCTTTATTGCTAGATTTTAGGTTTATTTAACAACAACTGCTAATAATAAGCTTCAACTAATCAAAAGCTTTATTCTTTAGCAGTCTATTTTAAGTATTATAAATTGTCTTAATACATTGAGACTTATTTGACAATTTTGGAGGCTAAGTAAGAGAACTGGTTGAGGCCAAGAGTTCAAGACCAGCCTGGGCAACATAATGAGACCCCCATCTCTACAAATAAAAAAAAAAGATGGAAGAATATATATTCTGTTTATTTGGGGTCGAGAGTTCTGTAAATGTGTATTAGGTCTGTTTGGTCCAGTTCAAGTCCTAGATTTCCTAGTTAATTTTCTGTCTTGTTCATCTGTCTAATATTGACAGTGGGGTGTTAAAGCCTCTCATTATTATTGTGTGGGACTCTAAGTCTCTTTGTAGTCATTAAGAACTTGCTTTATGTATCTGGGTGCTCCTGTATTGGGTGCATATATATTTAGCATAGTTAGCTCTTCTTGTTGCATTAATCCCTTTACCATTATGTAATACCCTTCTTTGTCTCTTTTGATGTTTGTTGGTTTAAAATCTGTTTTTTTTCAGAGACTAGGATTACAGCCCCTGCTTTTCTTTGCTCTCCATTTGCTTGGTAAATCTTCCTCCATCCCTTTATTTTGAGCCTGTGTCTTTGCACGTGAGATGGGCCTTCTGAATACAGCACACAGATGGGTCTTGACTCTTTATCCAATTTGCCAATCTGTGTCTTTTGATTGGGGCATTTAACTCATTTACATTTCAGGTTAGCATTCTTACGTGTGAATTTGATCCTGCCATTATGATGCTAGCTGGTTGTTTTGCCAGTTGATGCACTTTCTTCATAGCTGAATATATGCTTACCTAATAACCTAGCAATTAACACTCCTCAGTCAATTACCCAACAAAAATACATACATATATTTACCAAAATACATGTATAAAACCCTTCACAGCAAAATTATTTGTGTCCAACCTGGAAATAACTAAATCCTTATTGCTTTTTACAGTAGAATGGACAAATTGTTTCATATTTATGCAATGTAACATTATACAACAATAGAAATGAATGAAGTACAAATACTTGCAAAGATATGCGTGAAACTTCCACAAACATAATGTTGAACAAAAGAAAAAAGAAGTAGAATAAGGAAGAAAGGTTAACAGATGAGGGAGTGAATGAAAAGTGACTGAAAGCGGGAATGAACAGACATACTTCAGAGGTGCTGATAATGTTCTAATTCTTCATCTGGGTAATCATTACATTGGTGTATTCACTTCACAAACACATCTTGAGGTGTATACTTATGTATGTGTTATAGATATACATTAAGTATGTGTTATAATTTAAAAAGTACTTATAGGAGTTCAAAAAAGATAATATATTAAATTCAAAAGCCAATGCATCCTGAAGCTTAGTTTTAATACATATAATAATATAATTAGCCTATCTTTTTGTCATTAATTAAAATTTTCTGTTAACTGCATAGTCATACCTAAAACAGGCACAGTTGTCTGCTACTACTTTTGCTTTTTCTAACCATGGTCCTGCACATAAGCATACTTTCTGCACCCCAAACTAAATTTGTTCTTACCCTCAGAACATTTGCATTTGCATTTGCCATTCCCTCTGCCAGAAAGACTCTTTCTCTGCAATACTGGTCACCTAATATCATTCAAACCTAGTAAAAATCATCAGGTATTACCTCCTGAGGTAAGCCTTTCTGGTCATATTATCTAATGTTACCATACACTCACACATCTTGTAACTCTATCACATTGTCCTGCTTTATTTTCTTCACAATACTTGCAAAATCCTCAAATCACATCGTTTACTTTGTCTGTTTTCCTGCAATAGAATGGAAATTTGCTGAGGGTGGGGACCTTGTTGTCCCAGTGTCTGAAAGTATTGGCACATAGAAAATACTCAGTAAATGTATTTTAAATAAATGAATTAATGTATAAAATATCTTAACCAAATAAACAAGTTCAAATATTTTTTCTCTGAAACAAAGTGATTTAAAGCTATTAATCAGATAATTTTTATCAGATATTATAAGATAAATGTTATAAACATTTTACTAATTGTACAGTACTTTATGTAGCAATAGGCCTAGCTCTTTTGAGCTACAAACTTCATTTATCATAACAATATGAAAAGTGTAACTTTGCCGAGGCACAATGGCTCATGCCTATAATCCCAGCACGTTGAGAGGTAGAGGCAGAGGTGGGTGGATCATGAGGTCAGAAGTTTAAGACCAGCCTGACCAACATAGAGAAACCCTGTTTCTACTAAAAATACAAAAATTAGCTGGGTGTGGTGACGCATGCCTGTAATCCCAGCTACTTGGGAGGCTCAGGCAGGAAAATCGCTTGAACCTGAGAAGGGGAGGTTGCAGTGAGCCAAGATCGTGCCATTGCACTCCAGCCTGGGCAAAAAGAGCAAAACTCCGTCTCAAAAAAA